CATCAACTAATTAATTGAACATGAAGCTTTTTCAAAGCTCTGACATTAACTTGTGTGTGTATCTATTCTGCTCACACTATCTTCACTTCTTATTGGAACTTCTTTTCCTCACTATATGTTTTTAAATGTAAGAAGCTGGTGTATATTGAAATTGTTTTTAAATATGTGAGTGTGTGTATAAAACATGTATAGCATCTTAGAACAAATGTTTTATTCTTTAAAACATATATTTTTATGTGTTTAAAAAATAAAAAGCTTGTTATAAGTTGCTATGATGACCTTATCACATTACCTATAGGATTCGGCATGCAAATCTGGTGTGGAGTGTGGGAAATCCATCACCCAAGCCCCACATTGCCCGACTTCTCCTTTATCACACCCCAAGAGGGAAACGTTCACTACCCAACTTCTCCCCATTGTTGGCTATACAACACAGGAAGCCTCCCATGTTGCAGCGGTGGCGGCGTACAACATTCCAACTCCACTTGTGCAATAGAGCCCTGCCAGAAATACTCTGACATGGTAGGACAGGAGCCAGCAGGCTCCATAGTGCAAGTAGAGTACGACTGTCATACAACTGGCAATTTAGCCCATATGATGAGGCCCTTAGTCTCAGTTTTGGTCTAAGAATGGGCCATCACCCCCCCCCCCCCCCCATTATCATCATCCTAATGGCCACAGCAGCAACTATCAGAGGAATTGTAACCATTCCACTCAGCTTTGTTTTTATTCTTTAACATTCTTCTCTCAAATAATTTCTCTCCCATGACTTATAGTTCTTTCAGTTTCCCCCTTCCTAGAACTCCATTCCCATGTACACATTTGGTGGATGCATAAATATTTCTATTTTTGAGAGTTTATATATCCCTCCCTTATATATCCCTCTTTCATCAATCTAGGACAGTAGGTCTCTAAGCTTGAAGAGCCTGCTGTGAAAAAGCTTTATTTTGCAGGCTGGAAAATAACATTAGATTTATTTTTAAAGGCACAAGAGACAATGGAAGTTTTGCTCATTAGCAATAGCTGGAAGAACCGGCTCATGTTGTTTTAATCATGTCAGCCAATAAGGGTATTTCAGCTTTTCCCGTTTCTGGCCAAACTTTGAAGTATATTTTTATTAAAGCATTTCTTTAGCTGTTGACTAAATAATTGGCACAAAGATGAAACTTACACTTAATTCTGATTTTTGGAGAAATTCCTGCTTTGATCTTTTTTTTAAATCACAAAAAGCCAATATTGTGTATTTTTAAAACTCCAGTGAGATACATTAAATTGAACATAAAACTGATAGGGATGGTACATCTAATGTAATAAAACATACTGATAGGTAAGCACTAACATACTGCTTAAATAGATACCATTTTCATTTAACTATATCAAAAGCACAAAGGAAACATTATTAGTGACTGTCTAAGGCAAAACTTTATTACCCTGTATAGATCGTCCTCTGTATCCATGAATTTCACCATAAATGGCTTGAAAATATCCCTCCCCCCACTTTAAAAAGATTTTAAAAACCCAAACCTTAATTTTCCATTGTAAAAAGAGAGATCATTTTGCTATGCTATTTAATATAATGGGACTTGATCATTCATGCATTTTGGTATCTGTGGGGTGGCGGTCCTGAAATCAAAACACAGTAGATACAATGGGGCAACTAGATAATGCTGATCTCTAAATGAGTTGTTAGGTATGGCAAAAATGCAGTGTGGGTTTTTATTGATTAGCTGTAAGCTATAATGGAGCAGTCAATGGCATGAGGTTTTTTTTAAGTGTCTCCAAAGGGTTTGTGCATTACAATCATTTTGTCTGACAACTACAGGGCTTCAATTTTCAAATAAATTTAATGTCCTTTATTTCTTCAGTGAGAGAGAAACACTGCAGAGATTAAAAGCCCTGCTCATTAAAAATGCATCTGCTAGTTAAGTAGGTTTTTCATGTACTTGGAAAAAGTGTAGAATGTGCTTTTTAACTGTGACAAACTTTGGTAATTCATTACAACATTCCACTCTTGAAAGCACGTTGCCATTTATAATTCACAAACAGGATTCCCAAAACAAACACAACAAGGCAGCCCCAAGACCCAAAGTGGAGCCAGTCTTTCAACACACACAGCACACAATACATTTTTATAGTTGTCCAATGTGGTAAATAATCATAATCATCATCATCATCATCATCTTTATTTATATCCCTCCCCCTCTCCAAAGGGACTTGGGGTGGCTCACAACACAAGTAACACTATGTAACACAATTTCTGTTCCTGGGGTATAAATGTCATTTCCTAATTGGGTCTATCATAAAAACATGGAAAAGGTTTATTAAACTGCAAATACTTTGTTTTTGCGGGACATCCTGCAGCACATTTTGCTATAATTTTTCAATAAATATCTCATAGTATCTCAATCAATTCAAAATAGTTTGTGGCAGCCACAAAAATGAAATTTCTGGAGTGTAACAACTACTTTCAAAATAAGTACTGCCTGTTTGAACAGGAAATAACACTTTTAAACCAGGAACAGAAAAAAGTTTCAAATTTTGTTACATAGTGTAGTGCTATGTGGTGTTATGTAATATTAATGAATTAACCTTTTCACCAATTATCAAAATCATACACACACACATATACAAAAGACAAAAAGAAATATTGTACTTGCATTTTATATCAACAGCATTTAATATCTGCTATAAAAATAAAATTGTATAGGTATTTCTCCCACTTTAAAAGTCTGTTTGAAGTAATATCTATAATCTTAATAGAATATTGATTTCTGCACTCTAATGCACATCTATAATGCACATCACTACATCCGTAATGTTGAAAGCAGTGTGTGTGTGTGTGTGTGTGTGTGTGTGTTGTGTGTGTGTTCTGTGTCTGTGTGTGTATCAGCTCTCACCTGACTTGTCAGCTATTTTATTTATACTTTAATACGGGTCTTGAGCATCCAGAGATTTTGGTTACCGTGGTAGATCTCAGAACCAATCCTCCATGGATATGGAGATCTGACTGTGGCTAGATGTACACTGCTCCATATCCCAGGATCTAATCCCAGATTGGTCAACTATAATGATACTACACATATCTCCAGCATCCCAAATTGATTAGCTAGAGCAGGGTTTCTCAAACGTTTTCAGCTGTGGAGCCCTTTTGAAACAAAAATTTATCATGGAACCCCAAGAAAAGTTTATCTATTTCTCTGTCTGTCAGTCTGTCTGTCTGTCTATCTCAGGCATGGGTGATTTTTTTGACCAACATAAACTTAATGGTATTTCAGTGGAAGATCCCAGGGGCCATCCTGTTCAACCTCTTCCGCCATGCAGGAAAAACACAATCAAAGCGCCCCCAACAAATGGCCCAACCTTTGTAACAACAACAATAGCAGAAACCCCAGGGACCATCCAGATCAACCCTCTTCTGTCATGCAGGAAAAGCACAATCAAAGCACAACCTGAGTGGTAGGAAGAAAAGAGGGTTTTTGAAGCTAGCAAAGGGAGGGGAAAAGAATCTGGGTGACGAGGAAAGTGAGGAGAAAAGGCATTTGACATCAAGGAAAGAGAGGAAAAAAAGCTTTTTGGGGAAGGGGAGGGGAGAGGGAGCAGGAAAGAGGAAGGAAATCTGGGAGAAGGCAGGAGGAGGAGGCAACCACTGAGCATCTCCCTCAAGGGCTCTGCAGAGCACACTTTGAGAACCGCTGAGCTAAAGGATGTCCTAAGACAACCCTTATCTACCTCTTTTCTGGGACAGCTTTCTTGTAGTTGTTGCTCTCCTGAATCTCCACCAGCATTAAATATGATATCAAGCTATATTTTGCAATATTTGACTCAACATTTCCTTTATGGAAAGAAATGTTGTGGAATGCTATATTATTTATAGAAAATGTGTGGAATGCTATATCTCTTGGAAAATGTGTGGAATGCTATATTATTTATGCAATCCAACATTGCATAAGCACAGTTTGAAGTGTGGATATTGACACAGTGCTGCTAGACATTTTTGCCCACCACAATTGATTCCTGTTCTTTTAAGACTATGGTCTATGAACTGAAACACTGGGAGAGAGAATTATGGCTGGGCTGCACAAATGTAATAGAGTATACACTGGCATCCCAGTATGGATAGTGGTCCATATATTGCCACCCAGGTGCACCAAATACTGGAGGAAATAAGTGAATGGAAAAGAAGAAAAAAGGCACAACTAATCCCTTTTGCTGATTAAGCATTGTATTGAGAAATGCATAGAGTGTGGCCCTATTCTATTTCTGATTGGTCTAAGTTTTCTGAGATCTCAGGACAGGCTTCTTTTGCAGTTGAAACCATAAGCCCCTTAGCTGGAAATGCTGGTCTTGAAACCAAGAGATTCTGCATGCAAAGCATATGTTTTCCTTCTGAACTATGGCTCTACCAAAAAGAGCTCAGTATTTGGATATAGTGATGCATGCTTGATAGTAAAAGGCAATGGCCTGAGTTGTTTTGCAGATGAACTGCTAAAAACACCAATTTTTATGTAAAAGCATTCTGCTGTGTTCTCTTTTTTTCTGTTATCACATACAGGTGGGGTTATAGTGCCTTTCTAAAGCGTTCAGATACATCATGACTTATTTCATACATTATGTCTATGATGAAGGTGAAAACTAAAATAGTTTTCATGTTGGTTAAAAAAGTGGTTTATGTAGGAAAAAATCTTATCAGTACCACTATGATGTGTTCACCCACTTTGAAATGTGATATTTTAATGTAATTATTATAATTCTTACTTGAAGAGAAAACGTGTACCTGAATTTCCTTTGACTTAGAACAAAAATTGTATTTTTGTTTGGCATTCTACTGTAACGCTTTATAAAACTTTAGGTAAAATTTACTGTTTTTATTCCTTGTTCTAAGAGAATTCATTAACACTTTGAACAGTTTCAAATGCATAGCACATTGCCTTTTGTGTAATATCTTCTGTTGCTCATACAGAAATAGCACAACTAATTTAATAATCTTTTCCTTATGACAGATATACAACAAATGGCAGTGGACTGGTTTACTGGAAATTTGTATTTTGTGGATCGCACAAGTAACACAATCTTCGTATGCAACTATAATGGAACTGTATGTGTTATCCTCATCGATCTTGACCTTCACAACCCCATGGGAATGGCTGTGGACCCTAGTCTGGGGTAAGGTTTTCAGTGGTATAAAACATACCTTTGATGTACTGTCAGGACAACCCATGTGGTCTCTTTCAACTATAATTCTATGATGCTACTTACTGAGATGCAAAAGACTCTTTTGTCAAGGTGTGGAATGATTGATTTATAGCACATCCAATTTTAATATTTTCTCACTTAGACTAAGTATTTTTGTCTAAATTATTCATTTATTTGTGCGCGTGTTTGAAAAACTTGTGTTATATTCATTTGGTATTTCACACCACCTAAGTAATTAACAATATAAGTTTCCAAAATTATATAACATTGTCTTAAATGGCTAGCCCTTAACATTTGTAGATTTGACTTTTGTGGATTTGATTATTTGTAGATTTTGTTAATCGTTATTTCTAGAAATCTCTAGGTTTTTCAGTGCGATTCTATGGGTAGTTTCTTATGGAACTTGACCATATAGTTCTGCTAGAGAACCTAGAGAATCCTAGAGAGATGTTATGTTAGATTTTTACAAAAAAATATTTTCAGTTCACACTTTTATGGAGGTCCTACAAACCTTATCCTAGTGAATGTAGAAAGCTGACTGTATAATAACATGGCATACAATGAAACACAAAAACTGAATGCCTATTCAAGCAGGAAGGTTTTTCCCTTGCTCTGTAGCATTTTCAGAAAGTTTTGAATGTAGCTTCTGAGGTGAAAGAATTTCACAGTTTAGGTACTTTCTCATTTTTCTTTATATCAAAGCTCCTCCCTCAGTTTAAGAAACTGAATATGAATGTGTGCGTGTGTGTGCTTCTTGTATAAAATATTATGTAACAAGATTTGCTGGACTTACTTTCAGGCAAAGGATTGTGCATTAAATTGTACCCTTAGTGTAATGCAGTATAACCTGCTGAATTTGGAAACTCCTTTGATAAGTGGTTAAATACTAAGGCTGGGTAACCACGGAAAAATTTGGTTCTAAACTCGTTTAGTTTTTAGGGGGTTTTTGCATTTCGTTTTTTAAAAGAATTCCGAAATTTTTCTTTAAAAAAGTTCGAAATATACGAAATTTCGTAAAATTATGAAACAATTACAAACAATTACGAATCGATTCGTTAATGGCGGACGCGATTGCGCAATATGCTAAAAAACCCTCCAAATGGGACAGGGGGAACTTCTGAAGCTTCCCTCTCCCTCTGTTGTTGACTGTTGGTGTGATAATTTATTTTTTATCACTGATAAAACAAACAGCAACCCTAAAACTTGCACCAGACATACGGAAATAATTACGAAACAATTACGAAACAATTACGAAACAATTACAAAACAATTACGAAATAAATTGAAAAAATTCGTTTCGATTTTTAATTACTCCTGCATGGCTCAATATCGGATCGTAAGCTAATTTAAATACGAATTAATAACGAATTACGAAATTAACGAACGAAACCGCCCAGCCCTATTAAATACAAATGAACAAGTGACCTTGATAGACTGACATAAGTTCATTTCCTCTGCCACTTTCAACCTTATTGCTGTCAAAAGGTTTTGTATGAGTCCTTTTGTGAACATGTTCACCAAGGTTTTATAACTGAATTATATAAGCATATTTTGCAATGTTCTGAAAGGGGGTTTATTTAATAAAGAAGAATTAAATAACTCTTTTTCACCATCTGATCAGTTTGTTATCTAACCAGTTTTAAAAGTAGATCATCATTAGCAGCAGAATTAGATTTGCATGTCACAAAAATATAATATCTGTGAATGCCTGGATAGCAAAGTCACAATTTAACCTTGTGTTATGTTGTGTTATGTTCTTCCAAAGATAAAAGTCTATAATGGCTTATTGGAAACATCTTAAAATGCCATAAGACTATCTTCAATAAATAGGAAAATATTTACTGTAGAGACAGCTTGCTAGCCATATGTGGACTTTTGTCACTCTTTATTTAACATCTGATGGAATATTAAGATGAATCATCACAATAGGTTTAATTTTGACATGAACAGCTTGTACGTAAACTTTGAGGAAAGGAAGCTGTTTTCCTGCACAGAGCTGCATTTCTGCTCTCAACAGATGGCAAGCTTGAGTTGATCTGACTGCAGCGATGTTTCAAGGAAATTATGAGAAGTTGTGTTTTAACTGATTTGTTTAGTAATTCCCTTCACAAAGAAATAGAAACCATCTATCAGTTTTTTCAAGTATATTTATTCACATGATCTGTTTTGGTTTCATCTGCTGAAATCCAAGCTACTAATTTTGATCTTTCAGTGGAAGTTGATGTGTTTTATTTGATGTTTTCTGGATTACCGTTGTTCTACTAGAATATAATAAATATGCTGCAATATTCTAATCATGTTCAAATAGGGACCAAGACACAGTTGTTTTTCAGTACCTTTCTTTTGGTGTTTGGCATTTTATTTTAATATTTGATCTATTTTCTGATTTAAATTGGGGATGACTTTCAACACACTGCTTCTTTTGCTGGTTTTGGGCAAGAGGACTACCTGTTTTTCTTCAACACTTTTGCTTTTTAAAACAGAGCTGTCCTAAAGATAAAGATAACCAAAAAAAAAAAACCCAACAAAAAAGCAGCGGTGTTTCTTTGTTTTGAACTCTTCATCTTAAAAATTCATCTCCCACTGTCCGTCATGGGAGTAAACTAAACTACAATAAACCTGTTTCAGTTATGTATTGTCGAAGGCAATATCCGGTGTTTCAGTTATAATACAGTTTTTGCCCTGCTATGCAAGTTTATCTAGACAAGGGAAGGGCATAGATCTTGCAAATTCACATCCTCCTGCTGCCAGCATAACTTCTTTTGATCTCATCACACAAATCAGTTCCCTATGATGCTTCCACCCTGTCTTCTGGACAAAGCCCCATGCCAGCCATCACATGACCAAGGTGGAAGCATTGTTGGGTGCTTTGCCAACCACACGGGAGGCTTCCCATTTAGTGCTGGCTTTAATTGAGGCATCAGATCATCTACAGAAGGGTGACGTTTCCCACAAGTGATGTGAGTAGAGCCACCAAGAGGGGCATTGTGCATGGTGACAGATTTGTCCCACTGCCCCTCTTTATTTCATGGAAGCCAGGAGAAGCAGGATGCTTTGTCTGGCTTTTGTGATGAGGCCCTTTGTACCTATCGGGTATAAGAGAATGTGCATGGAGAAAGACCCAGCAGTGAAATTTACCATAGGTTTGCAAGGCTAGGTTGCAAAGGTTGTTCAGCCTCATGCCAAACCAACTGCAGGAGGCAATGTTCTTTTTCAGTTTCCCTCTGCTATAGCACTCCTTCCCTTCCCTTCTTTTCCTCTCGTTTCCCTTGCCTTCCCCCTCCCTCTCAGGACAATCCACAAGTTTGTATGCCCTTAACTTTGTATACTTCTTTAACAACAGAAAAAAAATTGAATAAAAAAGTTGTAGTGGTAGTTAGGATGATGGTAGCAGTATATTATGATAGACTTATGGCAGCAGTAAGCAGTGTGGTGATACTGTTGTTAAATGAGTATGAATGCAACATATACTAATAATACAAACAGGATGGAAAGGTGGATCCAGGTTTCAGTGTAAATATTGTGATTGAGTTATAGATGACGCTGTTCATCCTTCCTTTCATAACCTTTTCAGCTCCTCAAAAATGCTAGGTAGAGTTTTTTGGAAACATTGTAGAGCAGGTTGTGATGGAATTGCTTATAATGTTATGTACGTAGAGGAAAAAACTTATTGTAATGTCCAGGAGATCAGTGCAAGAAGAGTCTCACTCATCTACTCCACAGTTCAAAAAATAAGCAGAATCAGACCCAATTAAGATATACAAAGTCATAAGCCCAGCCTTTTCTTTCTCTTCTTCCCTCACTTTAAGTGTGTTGAGCTACATGAGGTAGAAAACTGAAATGGACAGGTATCACAAAGTAGTATATTGTGACTTACTGAATTTTTATAATTTTTCAAGTTCTTGTTTTTTATCTGTATCCTTTATTGCCTAATTACTAAAGTAAAAAAAATCTATATTAGTATATTGAATTACTGTGTCCACACCTGTTTCATAATGATATTGGCTTTATTTATTTCTTTAATAAAAATTTTAATAAAATTTTCATCATAAGAGTTCATTGCAAGTGGAGCATGAAATGAATAGAATATATAAGTGCAAGCATAACACTTTATTAAAGTTGCTAGCATTTATCAGCCTTTTATATATAATTATGAAATTTCAAAATATGTAATTTTATATTTAAAAATCCAGTTTTACTTCCTTAAAAACTTACCTATTCTGAGAACTTACAAATATGAGAACTTGTATGAGATATCTTCAGCTATTAATATGTTGAAGTTCATCATCCTTTTTTTATTTTAAAAAAAAAAGCAAACCACAGTAACTATATGTTTCACTTATTAGTGACAAGAACTGAATCTCTGCCTTCAGGCTACTGTGAGTTCATCATCCAGGAGAATTCTCCTGTTAAATTTATTATCTTATGGATTTTAACATATTTTTCCGGATCAGGCTTAACTCACTCAGAAACACACCGGCTTTCTATTGCCTCCTTATGCCATTTTTGGTTCAGAAAACCCAGAATCTGAGCAGTTTGGATTACTGGAGTCAATAATATATTGTCGAAGGCTTTCATGGCTGGAATCACTGGGTTGCTGTGAGTTTTCCAGGCTGTATGGCCATGTTCTAGAAGCATTCTCTCCTGACATTTTGCCCACATCTATGGCAGGCATCATCAGAGGTTGTGAGGTCAGTTGGAAACTAGGCAAGTGAGGTTTATATATTTGTGGAATGTCCACAGTTGGAGAAACAACTCTTGTCTGTTGGAGGCAAGAAAGAATGCTGCAATTGGCCACCTTGATTAGCATTGAATGGCCTTGCAGCTTCAAAGCTTGGCTGAATGATTTCAGAATGGTTTTGCATTTGTCTATATAAGTACTATTGCTAGCAATAATGCTTCTGTTGTTAATTGTGCCTTGGCTGACAACTCCCAAAATCCTGTAAAACTGGGGACTTCCGGGTGCGCAT